ACTGGAGCCTTGAACTCTTAACCTTCCTACCTCTGCCTCCTGAATACTAGGGTTACAAGGTATTGTAGTTTGTTGCTAAATGTCTACCAAATGTTTACTGCTGTCAAAGCTTCAACTTCCTTGTCTTCAAGATGAGACAACCGTTGGGTCTAGTGGCAATGCTGTGTTCCCAGCACTACAGTGGTGATGTACAAAGATTCAAAGTTCACGGTCCGCCTACACCACAAGAGGCTCTGTCTCAAGTCAAACACACAAACAACAACACCCAAATGGGACCATAACACCTACCTGCAGGGTGCTGGTGTGTGAACCTGAAGCATTTGGAGGGGTCAGACTCAGCACCAACACCCCCCTTCTCCACCGTTCCCAGCTAGGCCAGCAGGAGAGCGTAACTTGCCATCTCATCTTTCATCTCCTTCACCACAGATCTTGCCTCTGGGTTCTATAACCCACCCCTGACCCTGAACCCCCACCCTGTGACCTATCTGCTCAGTCATCTTGCTTTTTATTTCCATATTTCCTAGACAATTTCTGATAGGAAAACATACTGATTTCTCTCAGAAGCTGCAAAGTAAACAAAAATGTTCTTATCTCACCCCAAACTACTGTCTCACCTGCTGGGGCACCTGCAATGGAGACTTGGCTCTCGGGGATCCTTCTACTAGGTCCATCCCAATGCCATTCGCTCAGTAGGGCAAATCTGATCCCTTAAACATCTCTACTGAGGGCTGGCCAGATTGCTTGCAGCCAAACTTGACAACCTTGAGTTCAATCTGTAACACTCCCTGGTAGAAGGAGAGAACAGCTAGGCCTGGAGAGCTGGCTCAGAGGTTAGGAGCACACACTGCTCTTCCACATGGACCTAAGTTCAATTCCCAGCACCCACAACAGGAGGCTCAAGACCACCGGTATGTTAGGGACATCTGACACCTCTTGCCTCTTTGGGCAACAGATTCATCTACATACATAATTAACAAAAATAAAATTTAAAAAGCCCAAACTGCTCCTGTCCAGCAAAGTAGCATTTTTCAAACAACAACAACAACAAAAACCACTGCCTTTCATCACTTATAATGAGGAAATTCTGAATAACTTTCCTAGGGACCTATTGAGTCAGAGCTCACGCCTAGTTGGGCAAGGAGTGGGTGTGGCCAGGTGACTGTTTTCTTGGCCTCTACCCAAACATCCAACTATCTATTTATGGACCAGCAAGGGAAGTCCCCCGTATTCAGAACCCTGATACCCTCTAGGTTCTCTCTTACACAAGCAGGGACAGGTGGGCTAGTTGCCTGAGCCAGAGGCACCAAGGATCCCCTCAGTTCTCACACTGGAAAGGAGTTAGCTGGCCTCTCTCAGGGAGATAGAGAATTCACTGTCCTGCTGGCCCGGGCCTGGAGACCCCCACAGCCAGGTAGATAGGAGGAAGCCTGGAGAGAGGGTAGGCTGCAGAGACGCTGGGTAGTTAACAGTGTTTGCTGCTCTTGCAGAAGACCTGAGCTGGTTTCCCAGCTGTGGGGAGCTGGAAAGTCTTTTCCAGCTTCCACCAGCCCTACATAAACCCACGAGCAGACACATAGCCTTAAAAAAGTAAAAGTTTTTTTAAAAAATTTAAAATGTGTGTGTGTGTACACACATGTGAATATAGTTGCCCATGGAGACCAAAGGCATCGGATATCCCTGGAACTAGAGTTACAGATGGTTGTCCGCTGCTGGACATGGATGCTTGGAATCAAAACCTTTAGAATAAAAAAAAGCAAAACATCTTCACCATTGGGGGGGGGGGAGTAGCATTTTCCTCCAGCATTCCCTTGAGCCTTTGATGACTCCTTCATTTTTTTCCTGAAGATGGAAATACAAAGCTTTCCCCACAGTCCAGTCACCACCAAGATTCACTCTCCTGGTGTGTCAACTCATACTTGTGAAGGTGGCTCCTACCTCTGTGTTACTGGGTGCCCACCAGGTGCCCATCGAGCATATTTCTTCCCTTCTTTCTTCTTATGGGAAGCTCAACTGGCCCCGCCCCTGGCCCCTGGAGGGGCCTATGAAGACAGCCATATTCCAGCCATTGCCAATGGTGAATAGAGGAAGTGGAAGAATTCCTTCATGATCCATCCTTATAGCAAGGCACGCAGAGCTCCAAGAAGGACAGACATTGTTACAGCCTCTGTGTGGCCATTATAGAGTGCCGTTTATAGCCATCGCCATACCCACCAAATCCGCTCACGCCTTCACTGTGCCTGAAGTTGACTTGGACTTCACACCAAAGCCAGTGTATCGCTTCCTCCTCAGACCACTCCCGCTTGGGAGAGGGGCTTTCTTGTCACAAAAGTCTCAGCTCCCCCAGCCCCTGTAGAACCTCTCCTAAGACATCGGTGTCAGACCTCCTGGTGTCAGACCTGCCCAGACAGCCCTGAGGGCTCCCCAGCCCCTGCAGTGGCCCGATCCCAGCCTGGCCGCCCCGACGCCACCTGCAGAGCTGGATCAACCACGTTTCCTGACAACGTCCCCAACCCCCACACACCCAAAAAAGTTCTAAAGAGACTTGGGTTGGGCCTGGGAGGCCAGTCTACAGGGATCCCTCAGGCTGGGGTTACATCCAGGGACCATCTGACCTCAGCGTCACCTTCCTCACACAAAGGGCGGGGAGTGGTGGTCCAGTTCCCAGGTCTCCACACTTACATTCTGGCTTGCTTTCCCAACTGTGGCATCAACCCTCCCCCATCACACGACTCCATGTTCTCCACAGCCTCCAGGACTCCAGCCCTCCATGCCTTGGAGCCTTGGCTTGCCGTTCCCATGACCAGAACGCCTCCCTTCCTTGATTACAAGGTGAATCCCCATTCATCTTAGAACATCTGTCACCAGCCTCACCTCCCTTACGGCCTCTCCCAAAGCCAGCCGGTGCTTCCCGCGTTCGTCATTCATGCGAACGTTTATTGAGGGCCATTACACACCACACCGCGCTGGCGCTGTGATTACAGAGACACCACACCTACTCGCCTCTGAGTCTGGATGAGGAGGCAGACGTATAAACACGGCAGGTAGGAAAACGTTTATTGTTTCGTGCGTTTCATCTTTTCTCCTTATAATAATAATGCACACTAATTCTACAACACTACAGAAGTATAAAACGAGTCCCTTGACATAACTATTACTAATACTTTCATACCTAATTATCTAGGCTGTGTTCAGTATTTAAAGTCAGGTGTCCACATATTATTGTGCTTGATTTACTTTGGACATCTGTGTACACATATTACACAGCTTCACCTCATCTTCGATGGCTACAGAGTGAGCAAACACATGGTCATGCCATGAGGGACTTGTCTCTGATAACTGGAGTTCAGCTTGTGTCCAGTTTGCATCAACCCTAGCAATGATAAAGGAAAATCCTTCCCAAGTGCGCAAGCACCTCGGGAGGGAGACGTTCCCGAGGCAGAGTATTAAATGCACTACAGACAGATCAGTTGACACTCTCCTTGCAAGTGTCCGACAGCACCTTGAACAGATACAAAACAGTGCCACTTGCACGTGGGATAAAGGCTCTCAGGAGGGCCTTTTCACGCTTGGATAGGCAGGAGCAGGCTGGCCTAGAAGGTGGCCCAAAGGGAGCAGAGTTTTCCAAACAGAGGTCGTGGGGTGGCGTTCTGGGCAAAGAGAACTACAGATTCTGAGGATCGCTTGTGAAAATTCCCAGCAATGTCTGAAGGCCTGGACGGGACTGGAGCAGGGATCACAGGCAAGTCACGACAGGTCCTGCATGCCCAGATGATACAGTCACAGGGACCCATGTGCTTCACCTCGGGCACTTAGCACCTGGGCAGTGAACTGTCCTGCTGCTCTTCGGCCTCAGTCCTAGGACCTTTCCCAAGAAATCTCAAGAGACTGAAAATGTGAAGGCACTAATGGATGGAAGAAACTCAAATCTCCCAGCAGCTGGCAACTGACTGAAGAAGCATGCAACCCTGACAGCTTGGACTAGGTGCCGACTGCTCCCCACGGGCCAGGCAATCGCCTAACACTATACATGCACGCTCGTTTAATCCTGCTGGTGCGTCTTCAGTACAGATGGAAACAAGGCCAGCGTAGCGGCATGAAGGAGGGGGGCAGAGATTCTCTTGGGCTAGCGAGTGGGGGGCACCTGCCCGTCTCACTGCACCCTGCCCTGCTTGGCAGCGGGTGTGAAGGCCCCTGCCTGTGTGTTTGCTCTGCAAAGACAGGGGTGGCAGCAGCCAGCTTCACACAGGTGCCTCGGGGCTCAGGGACTGTGGACTTGCAGGGCTGTGAGGCCTCCCCACCACCTGATCACAGTGATGCGAACATTGATTTGGGGCAGGCCACCCTGGCACCCTCCCCTGACCCCTCTCTGACTTGTCTCCAACCCATATGTTATTGTTTTTAAGATTTATTTTTAATGATTTGTTGTTGTTTGAGACAAGGTTTCTCTGTGTAGCCCTGGCTGTCCTAGAACTTGCTCTGTAGACCAGACTGGTCTCGAACTCGAAGACATCCACCTGTCTCTGCCTCCCGAGTGCCGGGATTAAAGACATGTGTCACCACTGCCTGGTGCTATTTATTTATTTTTAAAGTGTGTGGGGGGGGGGCTGGGGGGTTGGGGGATGGGTTCACAGAGGCCAGAGGAGGGCATTGGATTCCCTGGACCTGGAGTTAGAGGGATCGTAAGCTGTGCAGTGTAGGTGCTGAGAACCAAACTCCAGGCTCTCTGCAAGAGCAGCATCTTTCCAGGCCTCCAACCCAGATGTTTAAGATGGGGAAAGGGGCAGCTGTGGAAACACCTCAAAGTCTAGATGGAGAGTCTGAGGCCAACAAACCCTCCTGAGCCTGTGAACAGTTCTTCTGTGCTGTGTGAGGACACACACTCACTTCCCAGTACAGCCTTGTCCTGAGCGAGCTCCTGGGTCCCTGGACAGGACGTGCCTGTGACCCGGGCAGGGTAAAGGAGGACTGGAGGCTGGGTAGGGAAGGAACTCGACGCTTACCTTAGCTTCGAAGAAGTTCTTGGCACCTCTGACGCCCTCCAGGGCGACATCAATCTCAGAAAGCTTGGCCAGCGCCAACAGGCCACTGTCCTCCTGCAGCTCGCCAGCGGCGGCCTTGTGAAAAATGAGCAGGAACTGCGGGAGGGAGAGGGACCGGAGGGTTACTGCTGTCCACCACGACTCGGCAACACACACAGCCTCGGCAACACACACACACAGCCTCGGCAACACACACAGCCTCGCCAACACAGCCTCACCAACACACACAGCCTCGGCAACACACACAGCCTCGGCAACACACACAGCCTCCCCAACACACACAGCCTCACCAACACACACAGCCTCACCAACACACAGCCTCACCAACACACACAGCCTCACTAACACACACAGCTCACCAACACAGCCTCACCAACACACACAGCCTCACCAACACAGCCACAATAATCCCTCAGGCCTGAGCAAATGACATTCTTGCCAAGCACTTGAAAAGGGTGGGTTTTTAAAAAGATTTACTTTTTAATTGTATGCACATGGGGGAGGATGTGCATGTGGGTGCAGGTGTGAACAGACTTCATAAGAGGGCGTTGGAACCCCTGGAGCTGGGGCTATTGGGAGTTGTGAGCTGCCTGATATGGGTGCTAGGAACCAAATTTGAATCCTCTGCCAGAGCAGCAAGCACTTTTAGCCATCTCTCCACCTGGAAAGGACGCTTATGTCTATGTATACGTGGAGAATTATTTTGTCCCTTACCAGATCATCAAAACAATAAAAGGGGGGCGCATTAAGGGCATAGCTCAGTGGTAAAGCAATGCTTAGTATGTGTAAGGACCTGAGTCCAATCCCAAGTACCAAATACATTAATTGAATTAAATTCTGTTCTCTCCCCCATCATTAATGCCACTGGTGGGAATCTATCCCTCAAAAATCCACCCAATAAGGCTGCAGAGGGCCGGGTGGTGGTGGTGCACGCCTTTAATCCTAGCACTCAGGAGGCAGAGGCAGGCGGATCTCTGTGAGTTCGAGGTCTGTCTGGGCTACAGAGTGAGTTCCAGGTGAGGCGCAAAGCTACACAGAGAAACCCTGTGTGTGTGGGGGGGGGGGAGCTCACATATTTATTTATGTACTTATTGTGCATGTGTGCCGTGGTACACATGTGAGGCCAGTGGACTACTTACAGGAGTCGGTTCTCTTCTTAATCTATGCGAGGCCCTGCGACTAAACTCAGGTCGTCAGGCCGGGTCTTTTGAGCCATCTCGATGCCCCCCTCTCCCTGCCCCGCCTTTTTAATATCTCTTAGCTACCTCTGTTTTCCTCCCGTGTTCTGTTTCTGCACGAGACTGCCTACCTTCCTTGCAGTTTCCTAAGCGATCTTCGTAGGCCTTAGTTTATCTTCAATGCGTTAGCTCTTGCTGCTTGTCACTTCAGTATTTATTTGTTTATACACATATGTGGAGGGCAGAGGATAACTTACAAGAGTCAGTTCTCGCCTCCCACCATGTGGCTCCCTGGGATTGAACTCAGGTCAGCAGGTTGGACATCGAGTGTCTCTACCCACTGAGTCACCTCCCCATTCCTGTTTGTTATTTTTGTTTGTTTGTTTTTGTTTTCTGAGACAGGGTTCCTCTATATAGTCCTGGCTATCCTGGAACTCTCTATGTAGACCAGGCTGCTCTCAAACTCAGAGATCGCCTGCCTTGGCCTCCTGAGCGCTGGGGTTAAAGGCGACACCACAGTGGACTCCGTTCACTGGTTTCTGAGATGAGAGGGTCCTGCCATGTTGCTGGTCTCAAGGGACACTCCAACACTGGCCTCTGGAGTCAGTGCGACTGCAGGCGTGGGCCGCCATTCCTGGCTTCCTACAGTATCTTTTGACTCGGAAAAGTTTTACATAAAATCTGCCAAATCCTTTTCTTTCCTCTTGCCAGAGAGAGGCTTAGGAAAACCTTCCCCAACACCAAGGTTACATAAACAGTCAGGTATGTTTCTGTCTAGTATTTTTATGGCTTTTTTTTTAAACTTGTAAATATTTAATCTCTGAAATGTATTCTGTTCTATTGCGAGGGTAATCATTAACCTTATTTTCTTCCAAATAGTTACTTAGTAAGCCCCACGTTTATTGTGTAATCCACCGTCTGCCTCCACATTCAAAATGTGTGATCGGAGCAAAGAAATCCTGGAGGGCAACTGTATCAGGGCCTCCACAAAATCACTTCTTAAATACCAGGCTCTCCTCTCCCTGACCCTCTCTCCCTGGGTCACTTTATAAATATTTAATTCCTTTCTTAAGTATTCTTACAAAGCTAGCATGGGAGCTCACACACGTTACATCAGCAACAGGAGGCTGAGGCAGGCAGATTGCCAAGAGTTTCAGGCCAGGTATGAAACTCTAACCCAAAACAAAACAAAAACAGACAACAACAAAAACCTATGAATTACAAAAAAATCTCTTATTACATCTTATTCGTTTTGTACATGTGCATGCCATGGAGTATATGTGGAGGTCAAAGGACAGTTTGGCTGGTTCTCTTCTACCAAGTGTGTCCCCATGATTGAATTCAGGTTGTCAGGATTTGCCCGCCAAAAACCTACAAGTTGGGGTCGGCAATGGAGACATGGCTCCCAGGTCAAGGGGTCGTGTGTACTTGCAGGGGACTCAGGTTCTTGCCCAGCACCCACACAGTGGCTCACAAACATCTAGAATTCCAGTTCTAGGGGACTCAAGACCCTCTTCTGGCCCCCGTGGGCACTAGGCAGGCACGTGGTGCACATACATCCATGCAGGCAAAACCTTTATACACATAAATAAAATAAATACATCTTGAAAAATTACAGATTTTTCTAAGCACTATCCAATTTCTATGGACACCACCATCCCCCATTTATAAACGGATGGGCCCAAACCACTGAAAGAGGTTTCTCCAGGTTTTCAGGCGCTACTGAAAGCATGTACAGAGGGAAAATATAGCCATCTTCCCTAAAGAATGCTTTTTCTGAAAGACAGTCAACCTCCTCAACAGGCTTTCCAAATCCCAACTCCAGTGTCTTAGCTCCCAAGGCTACAGCTTCCTCTTTGCTGGGAGTCCTGCTTTACGCTTGCACTTCTGACTCAGGCCTCACTCCACGGTGGACACTGTGGACACTGGCGGACACTAACCCAAGGGATGAAGGGAGGTGTGTGGGGACTTGTAGCTTCTCTGAGGTCCCTGAGACTGTGCTGATGAACAGAAATGCCACACTCACCCTCCTGCAGCTTCCAACTCTCTCACTAGAGGCCGGCAAAGACTCAGTTTGCAGCAGGTTCTTAGAGCCGGCACATTGGCTGCAGAGGAAGTAAGCCTGCTAGAGGAGGCCAGGCCCCCAGCAGTGATGCAGCCAGGAGGGTGGGAACTGCTGCCTTCCTCTTGGTTCTCTCTTCTCCCATGAAAGAGAGGAAGACTTCAGCACTGCAAATGTGAGCTGTGGATGGAGCAAATGTCTGCCCCTCAGCACCTGACTCCTGTGACGCTTTGGTCCCTTAGTCCAAAAGTGTTAAGAGGTGGTAGCCGCAAGAAGGCAAATAGGACGCTGAGAGGGAGGAGGCTTTTCTTAGGGGCTGTGTATTCCCGTTCTCTCACCATGACGAACTTTCGTCCATGCTTGCCCTGTGCTTTCCACCCTGACTTAAAGCTGCACATGGCCTCCGCTGGGAGCTTTGCAGAGGCTGGTACTGTGCCCTTGGACTCCCAGAACTGCAGGCCAAGACAAACTTCTTTTCTTTCTAAATAATCCAAGCTGGGATGGTCTGTTATTACAAAAGAAACCTGGCCAAACACCTAGCTGTCCTTAAAGTCCTTCTTTTACTGGAGGTCTCCACAGAGAGAGCTACCTTCTACAGCAACACTTCTCAGAGACTCGGGAAAGAGGGAACGTTGTCCCAGCTCAGCATCCAGTGACTCTCCATTTCCCAAGACTCAGTTTTCTCACCTCTAAAATGGAGGCGGGGCTAGTGAGAGGGCTCAGAGTATTTGTCATCAAGACTGACAACCTAAGCTTGATCCCCAGGGCCCACATGATGGAAGTTGTCCTCTGACCTCCACAGGTGTGCCATGGCATCCATGTACCCCTTCCCTCAACACTAAACAAATAAATATATAAAACAAGATTTTCAAAAAATGTAAGTGGAGGTGACTGTTCACATTCACAGAAGAGCTTTGTGAACCAGAAACATTAGCAAATCCCTTGGGCCTTTTCCAGTACTGTTTGCTCTGAGCCCTGAGGTCCAAGACATCCAGGATCAAGAGCATTCCCCATCAAGACCCAGGGGTCTCCTAACCCCGGGCAGCCAGAAAAGAAAAGGAAAAGAAAATCCAGTCCAACCCGACCGCATCCAGCATGCCAGGCACTCCCACTTCACCCGTTATAGTCACTGCCTCCAGTGACAGTCCCCTTCCCCGCTCAACCTTGTTTGTTTTCCTATTTATAGTCCACAAAGACTGGCATGGTGTCGAGCTGGAAAATGTCCCAGTGGTGACTCTGAGGGGGAGGGGAGCAGAGGTAGAGAACAAAGGCCGAGGGCAGAGGGAGCTAACAGTTCAGAAGCTTTCAGTCACACGCCGTGGATGCCATCCCAAGAGTGAGGGAATTTTTAACTTCAGGACTGTGGCTAGTGGTGTACAAATAATACTTCCCATGTTAGAGGGCTTCGTTTGTAAGAGACAGACATTAATTCTTTTTTAGGACAAAGGAGGTAACTCACTATAGAGAAAGGATGTGTCAAGAACCCAAGGATGGGCTGACAAGAGGGCTCAGCAGGCCAAGGGGCTTGCTGCCAAGACTGACAACCTGAGTTCAAGCCCTGGACTAACTTCTCCAAGTTGTCCTCTGCTCTTCACACATGCACGGAGGCACATATGTCCCATACAATAAATAAGGTAAAAAGAGGGTAAAGCTAGGTGTGACAGAACAAGCCTGTAATCCCATCAGAGGCAAGAGGATCAGGAGTTCAAGGTCATCCTCAGCCACAATAGTGAGTTTGAGGCCAGCCTTCGCTATGTAAGGCCCTGCCTTCAGGGATGGAAAGATGGCTCCAGCAATTAGCTGCATCTGTTGCTCTTGTAGAGGACCTAGGTTTGATTCTCAGTTCCAACATGGAGGCTCACGATCATTTGTAATCCCAGTTCCAGGAGATCTGATGCTCTCTTCTGGCCTCCAAGGCACCAGACACACATGTGATATACAGATGTACATATAGACAAAACATTCATACACATAAAATCATTTGTAAAAAATGTTTTTTACAAATCCTTGGGTTTGTCCAGCCCATCCTTGGGTTCTTGACACATCCTGTCTTAACTCTCCCCACCCCTAAAATCTCTCTCTCTCTCT